GGGGCCCTGCCGGGGTTTGGGGGTCTGAAACCATGACATTGAATTTCTGGGAAAATGGTCTGAAGTCTTTCATCATATTCTCTGAGGTCCAGTTGGGATAAGGCTGAAGACTGATAAATTAGGATGGGCGAAGCATGGTGTGCACAGGAGGCCATCCTAGGAAGAGGTCCCACGGAAGTCCCTGTCTGGAGGGACTTCCCAAGACCATTGTATGGAGAGCTGGGACTCTGTCCTAACCTTTAGTGAGAGTGTCAGGTCAGGAAGTTTTAGCCTGGATAGAATAAATGTGTGTCTCTACTAACCTCCAGGTGACACGATGTCTCCTGCCATGGCTGAAGTAGATAGCCGTGACCTGGGCAAGACTGACCTGGAAAGTGCCAATACAGGAGCTTTCATTTCTTCTCGCAACCAGGGACATCTCACTGTCCTCAGCTCCACTTTCCTCTGCTTGGTCTTGTCACTTGATGCATTAGTGAAGATATGTATCACTGGGGCTCTGATCTGTTTTCACATCCTGCTGCTGAGTTCAGTTTGTATTTTGTATCCCTGTGCGTCTGCAGATTCCACTCTACGCATTTAGAAACATCATTCTGAGAAGGGGTCACTAGGTCAGTGTCACCCTGTGATCACAGCTGAGCTCTGGCAAGAGAGCCACCTCAGCCCAAAAGCTTCCCTGGCCCCCTCAGCACTGAGCTGGACCGAGTGGCCGCCTTCCCTGTCCTCCAGGAGCTCACGTATGCCTGCCTGTGAGCGCCTCGACGACAGAGCCGGCGTCCGCCTCAGCACCTGCATGGCCAGTGCCTGCGAGACTCAAGGCTGCTTGTCCTGAACCCCGCGCCACCTGTCAGACGGCAGCTTCCTGGATGGTTGACGCTCAGGTCTTCTCGTGTTATTCCAGTTTTAAACAAGATGTCTCAGAAGAGAGGAAGTTTATTGTCCCATTTGTGCCACAGCAAGAAAGGAACCAAATGCTAATCACGTCCTGGGCTAGTCAAGTATTGTGTTGGGGAGAAAAAGAGTTAGCCTCAAAGAATTTAGTGATTTTTGTATTCATGTAATAACTGCAGCTGTACCACCTGTGTGCGTCTCGTCACTGCAAAGACCTGCTGCCCGCTCTGTCTCTGGTGGGACCCTGGGTGTGGCCTTGTACTTATCTGTGGATGTTACCCTGGGCGGATCCTGGCAGGGGCACTCACAGTGTCCCTGGATTACCTCTCACATCTGCCTTGGCTTTTTATAATTGTCTCAATAAAGACAAATCTTAAATGCTCCTTCTTTTGTTCTCCTTGTTTTTCAGGAAAGGAGAAAAAAAATGCTACTGTGAATTACCCTCTTATATTTTAACATTTGCAGTAAAAAAAATCTGATTAAGGGGGCTGGGGTTGTGGCTCAGAGGTAGAGTGCTTGCCTACCATGCATGAGGCACTGGGTTTGATCCTCACCACCCCATGAAAATAAAGATACTGTGTCTACCAATACTAAAAAATATTATTTTAAAAATCTGATTAAGGTCTACAGACTGGGCACATTCTCAAAGTGTTAAGGGTGCGGACAGTTAAATGAGCACGTCTTGAGTGTGGACTTGGGCTGGGTCTGAGGAGGTGGGAGGAAGAGGCTTCATGGTCTGGAAGCACGCAGGCGGGCAGGAGACAAGCTTCTTTCTTGTAGACCTGAGTCTGTCGCCAGATGACAGCTTATCAAGAGGACATCCAGCAGCCTCAGCCTGTGTAGGGCTCACGTTCTTCCCTCCCAAAGTTGCTGTCACTTGGTCACTCCTCACAATGCTTAAGTGTTCTCAGTGGCTGTTAAGCAGGTACAATGACTAGGGACCTAGGTCCTAGATGAGAGCAAGGCCTGTGTACCTGGCCTCTGTCCTATGTGGCCGAAGCTCTGTATCTCTGGGACTTTGTCCTCATGCGTCAACTATCTAAGTGGCCTCTTTGTCTCTCTGCTCCTCACAGGTGCAGGGAAGGGGAGGGTCACATGGCCAGAATCCATATGCACACCCAGCCTCGTCCCAGGGAAAGGTGCACCCTTGGGTGCATGTGCTTGGTGGTGAGGTGGGGCTGGAGAGATGGATCACACCCTACAGAGCTTAGTCAAAGCCACACAAGGGCAGCTAGACGGCTGTCCACGCCACACCAGGTCTACTTTCTGACTCTTGGTTTAGTGTTCCTTAAGCCAGCACTGCTGAGGCTCGGTCACACCACACGGTGAATAGGCTTCTGGAGAAGAACGGCTCTTATGGCGCTGTGTGGTCTTCTCGCCACCGAGCTCTTCCTTAGCCTAGTCTGTTCAAGAGCGGGCGTCACCTGCCTCTTGGTCCCCAGCTCTGCGTATCAGGGTCCTACAGAAAGTTTGACGTTCCCTGAGAGGTTCTAGAGCCCTGACTTCTCTCCCTTTCTCTCTCCCTCACAGGTGTGGGGACCTCACGGAGTGGGTCACCCAAGGGCCATGCATGCCTGCCCCCAGGTCTCTTCCCATATAATCTCTAGGAGGTGGTCGGCAGGCAGCAGTGAGGTGACCAGTGGGGAGGGAGCACTGGTGTCCTGCATGGAGCATGGGGCTGCACAGAAGTGGTTGCAGTAAAAGTCTTTGATTTAATGTGCCTCTGGGCTTTTCCCAAGTCCACTGTCTGCCCAGCTGAGACCTGCAGACCTGACAGCCCTGCAGACTGGGCAGGAGGAGATGCCTGCCCCTTTGCAACTTCCTCTTCTGTGTGTCAGCCAGATCCCAGTTGTTCAGGACTCCAGTGGATCGGGAGGGACACTCGTGGTGGAGTGGCAGGCAGGCAAGTGTCTGTTGGACTCCAGGTCAGGGCCCACGGAGGTCCTGAGGGAGGTGCCCCTGTCCCAGAATGCCTCCTAGCAGGGCTGCGTTTTGTCCTGCACTCAGCTCTTCTTTCTCCTTACTTGTGAAGCCCAAGGAAATCTGGCAAAGGCAGAAGGTACAGACCACAACTGGAGAGAGATGGTCCTAGATGCAAGGCATGGCTCAGCTCTGCTACATCCTGGCACAGCTCTCTGTGCTCCCATGAGCAGTGGACATGACCACTCAGCAGCTGGAGGAAGCAGGCTGGGGTGGGCTCATCTTGCCTGCCAGCCAGCCTCCCTGGATCCCTGGATTGCTGAGTCAGTCTTCCTGATCTGCTCTGATCCATTCAGTCCTCAGCAATCCCCTTCTCTCAGGAAGGTACTGGATCACACTTCTCTGGACCCCAGGAGCAAGTGCCTCCTCCCACAGGAAAGAAGCACAGACATGCAGGGTGGGCCACTGAGTCTTATACACAGGGCTGCCTTATAGGAGGCCCTCATCTGCCTTGGCCAGGCTATGGGACACAATGGAGTGAAGCCAGGGTCAGCAGGCACTGAAACCGAATCAGAAATGTGTGCCGTACACATCAGTTTCAAAGATTTTGCATGGGAAGAGGATGCAAAGTTCTACTGTAACCTCTCATGCTCATTCTGTTGGCACCCACCGTGATCCTGTGGGGCCACACCACTACAGGTCTTAGGCTCATGCTGTCTGACTTGGGTGTCCCTGCTATGGCCAAACCCACAAGTCCCACAGCCTACACTAGGAGCAAGTGTTCTGCTAGGGCATTACCCCAGAGCAGAGGTGGTGGCGTGGGGTGCTTTTGTGAGTGCACTGTGTGACACATGTGGGCTGGTGTGTGCTAGGTCAGAGCTTGGGAGGGTTCCGGCCACAATGAAGAGTCTTCATCCACATCCATCTGAGTTCTAGGCCTCTGGCTCCTTCTGGAGCTGCATATTCTGAAAATAAAGCATGCCAGACGGGAGTGAGGGGACCTTGCTCTGTGCGCAGAGGTGAACGTAGGTCATTGAGGCACATGAGACTCTTTGAGCCCTGGACACAGTCCCTGGAGCTGCTTCCACCCTGCTGGTAGGTGCTGGTGAGAAGGAGAAGTCCCAGCCCCTGGCCACTAAAGCCAGCACTGCCACATCAATTAGGTGTGCACCTTGGTTTCCACACTGGGAGTGTTCCCTGGCAGTAGAAATGCTGTAAGCCCTGCTTCCAGTGAATTAAGAATCATACAAGGTTAGGGCACTTGTCCCAGACCCCCTCTGCAGCTGGCATGTGGTTGGCGCATTCTCTACTGCCCTCCGTAATTCCAAGAATGCTTCACTCAGTGGGCGCTCAGAAACCCTAGGCCTTGATGCCCAGGGCAGCAGCCATCTCCCTGCACACCTGCTTGGTGGCGCTAGGCTGGACAGCTCCTGCATTTGCAGACAGGCAGTGTCACAGGCTGGGGCTGGTGGTTCCCAGCCTCCAACTGTGCAGGCGAGACTTCTTCTTCACTCTTGGGAGCTCCAGGAAACAATGGGCCCTTTTTCTGCCTGCCAGGTTACTCTGCCTCCAGACACAGGAAGCTTCTGTTGATCACATGAAGCCCAAGTGTGGGGCCAGAGGCCCTGGCAGGACACCTAAGGCCAAGGCATGCTGGCCTACAGGCTGGACCTGGAGCACCCAGCTCTGTGTGTGACCCCCTACCCCACGCCGACCTTAAGGCTTCTGAGTGGTCAGAAAATTTCATCCAGGGCTCCTGACACCCTCGATTGATTAAGTGTGCAAACAAATAATAAGGCCACGCCTTTGTGGTAGACAATACCCATGTCACAGCTGTGCATCATGCTGGTGCTTGCTGCCACATTCCACACCATAACTCCAGAGGGAGAAAGTGCTGCCTGGTGTCTTTCATGTGGCTGAAAGCCCAAACCCTGGGGCATCCACCTCAAAGACAGCCCCCAGGGCACCCTCACCTAGGAGCCGGGCTGGGCGGGTCAAGTCCTGTCACAGCAACAATCCTTGTAGTTGCTGCTCCCAGAGAGCGAGGTTTCCAGAGAAGGGAGTTAAGATGTTTGTGGAACAGGCAGACAGCACAGTGTCCTACTTGAGTGGGTATGAACTGAACTTTGGAGACCGGGTTTCTGTGGCCATGGTGGTCTGGAGTGGTAGTTGTGACTCTTTATCACCCTTAGAGCCAATCCTGCCTGCTGTTCCCATCACCCCACATTTCTAGCCTGCAGTTCAGAAGGGGGAGGAATGGAGTTCCTCCTATAGAGGTAGGTTCTATGGGATCCTTGGAGCCTGTCCTCAAATCCACGGCCCAAAGGGGGCCCAGGAAAGGGAAGTGGCATATCTGTTGGGAGCTCACCTGTCTTCCTTTGGGCTACCTGTTGCACGCTTTGACAAAATAAGCTGAGGCAAAAGCACCCTGACCCCTGCAGGCTTGCTGCAGCTCAGTGCTGAGCCTTTACAGAGACCAGGGAGCTGCCCTCGCCTCCTTAGCAGATAGCAAAGCCACTTGGGCCACAATCTGCAAGGCCCAGGGCCTGTTCCAGCCCCACCCAGCCTGGGCCCTTGCGTTTCCGGGGCTCCTGGAATAGGCCACAGCAGACACAAGTCTTGGTTCCCCCAAGAACATGCAGGAGGTGAGGTTGGCCAGAGGGCCTGGGCAGCCAGATCAGAGTTGGGCTCCCTGTTTGAGACAGGAGTGTGGATCTTCCGGTCTCTGTCAGCCGACAGGTGGACATGGCAACCTCACCTATGAGATCTTAAACTGCATGTGGATCATGACTCAGCACAGAGCAGCAAATTGTCAGAACACTGATGTCTCTGGCCCCAACCCTGCCAACTTCATCTCTAGGAAGATCAACTTCCACACGCCTGTGTGTGACTCTCTCACTCTGGAACCTACAAGTATCATCACAGCAGAGGGACCAGAGGGAACCAGCCCTTTAGTACATCTGACCTGAGAACACTCACCTGGCTGTGACTAAAAGAGGCCCAGGAGCCCCAGGAGGAAGAGAATTCCCCTGGGTACACCTGGTGGCATAGTGCTGTGGGGTGACCCCAGTTTGCCACATGTAAAGTGGACAGTGAACAGTGGGCTGGGACCACAGGCATGCTTAGAGCAATAGCTCTGGTTCACCTGGCAGTCTGCCTACCTGGGGAGGGCCTCCTGCCACACCACATGCCCCGCTAGGCAACATCAGGGTGAGACAGTCCAGGAGCACAACCTGGTACCCCCAAATCCCAAAGGGCAGAGCCCTGGGCTGGCAGTGTCATGCAGCTGGGGTGGTGCAGCCTGTGTGCACACTCAGCAGTCATCTGACCACGGCATTGGGGGGGTTCACTCCTCCCCAAAAGATCCCCTCACAGAACGCCTGCTCCAGACACCCTGAATCTGCTAGACCTGTAGGAGACTGTTGCTGAGATTTTGATTTTTACTTCATTTCTGTGTTTCATCATATCTAGGATACCTGTGTAATAGTATCAAGGTAGGTGGTCCCGACAAAGGGGTGTTACAGGCCCAGGTGCAGATTCAGGCAGTGGGTGCCTACTTTCATTAAGGACACTATTGTGCCCTTGTGGCTTCAACCCAGAACTGCTCACCCCATGGAGAAGATCCTGGCCTATGGGGTGGACTCAGGCAGCATTGAGCCCACTCCTGGGGGTAGGCAGGATGCCTAAAGAAGTCTCTAGTGAGTCACAGGACCAGGTTTGGCCTTCTTAGGTCCTTTCTTTACTCCAGGAGGCCAGTCTCCAGAAGGGACCCTCGGGGACCTCATTGGATACTTGCCTTCCCTTTACTGACTGGCGTTAACCTAAGCCAGTTAAAACCTTAGAACCGCCTTAAGTGAAGTCGATGCATATGGTAGTGGTAGGTTAACGCTGCTATTTCTAATGAGGACCTCCTTTAGAAAGTTGTCAGACCACGGCAGCTGGGGAAAACTCGTTCCAGATTGGGGAGGTGTGTAAGTGCCTGTCCCCGGGCACGGTGGCCCCCAAGTCTGGTGGGTGTGTCTGTGCCTCCAGCTGCTGAGAATGGCAGAGCCTTTGGTGGAGGAGGACAGCTGAAGCCAGGCCTGTCTCTGCCTCCACCCTGGGAACGTTGCATGACAGCAGGTAGAGTGTGTTGCCTCTCTGGCCCAGGGGTCGGGGTCTCAGATCTGTGCTGGCCTCCTCAGACAGTTGACATGCGGATGGGTCTTTGGCGTCATAATATGCCCTATTTAATTGGAATTGGCAATTGGCGGCCTTCACAGTTTAGGAGATTATAAATGTAAATCTCAAGTTTCCGGCTTCTCAGAAGTCCATGGTCTGGGCCTGCATCCAGGCGTGGGCACCTGGCTCACTCCTTGGCTCTCCCAGTGGCTGCATTCAGTGAGGCTCTCCAAGGAATAGCTTCTCTCCATGAGGCACATAGCTTTCTCAGGACAGGACCTGGGTACTGGGCACTGTGCGCATCGGGTTGCTGGCAGCCAAAAGTACAGTGGGTTTTAAAGAAACTGTTATTGGAACTTCCAGAATTGTGGGCTTCAGACACAACATGGTCTGAGTGCTGGACATTCAGGAAACTGAGGGATAAACGGCTAGAACCCTGCAGTCCCTCATACCGTCCTGTGGAACGGCCCCTGGCCTTGGTCTCCGCTCAGCCTTTGCAGTAGGGAAACTGCCCACATGCAGAGCCCTGGAAGTCCTCAGGAAGCAGACAGACATCTCCTTGTAGGACTGACCCCTCTGACCCTCTTGTCTGCATTCTGCACCAACCAGGGTCAGGGTCAGAGGCCAAGGCGCTGGGCTTGGGATGAAGCTGTCATGTGCAGAGGCAATTGCTTCCACCTCTCCCCACCCTTCACAGTCCTCCCCAGCCTGCCAGCCTCCCTCAGGGTCAATGCTAATAGACCCCAGGCCTGCTGTCCACCCCCTCCCCCACAACAGCCCTGTGGTTCAACTGGGTGGACTTTTGCCCTAGTGGTGCGGTGTGGCCTGCTTGGCCATGGGGGCAAAGGCCGGGCCTGCACTGGGTACCAACTGTTTGCTGCTTTTTTGGTGCCAGATTTTCTGTGGCATTTGCCCAGTCAGCCCTCCTGGCCTGAGAAATCGTTTCTGATCTCAGAGTTGGTCAGAGGCTGTCCTGTGAGAGCCAAAAGGCCAGGTTCTGAGGGGCCCAGCTTGCCCTCTAGGCTCCTTTTCTTGCCCCTCAGCTCACAGAAACCTGTCCTCAGGCGCCCTGCCCTCAGATCCCATGACCACTGACCAGCCCATGCAGGACAGAGAAGCCTCGGCCACAGGCCCCTCCTCTCAGCTGGGCCTGCTGTGTGTGGGAGTTGCCAGCCCCTCTTTGAACAGAGAGGGAGCTACAGAGAGACCTGTTCTTGTTTTAGCAGATTCATGGTGTCCTGGTCTGTGAGGGGACCTGACAAGGAGGAGGAAGCCCCTATTCTGTTCTGGGTCCTGTTCTTTTTGTCTTGGAGGCAGGGGCTCTGAGAAACTGTGTGCATGGGGGGTTCGCCCTTCTGGAAGGCATCCTGGTGGGCACCCTGTGCCCTTTCTGGTCTCCTGGTCTAGGTCAGTAAACACCAGTGTCCTGGATTTTCATGAAGGACAAAGTGGGTCACGGCTGCTGGCTTTATTAGCCCCTCTGCCCTGGCCAGAGTTGCTCAGCTGCCACTTGGTGCTTCATTTCCCGTTGTTTTCTGTTTGCTGCTTCTTGGCCCAAGATGGCCAGGAATCGTTGCTGCAGAATGCCCGAGCTTGGTCAGAGACTCCCTGTGGGGTCTTCACTGGGAGGACCCCTTACTTAGCAAGACTGGTGCCAGGCAGCTGCAGGTGTTGGGCTGCTGCCCTCTGGTGGTTGCCTGTGGTGACAACATGTAAGCCTTCTCCCTAAGAAGCCGAGCTCTGCCATGGAGTGAGAGGGCCGGGTCCTGCCCTGCCAGGGCCTGGGAGGACAAGGCTCTGCAACAGGTCAATCAGGGAGGTGCTGTGGTCACTTCATTCTGACACACCAGCTCTGACAGGACTGTCTTTGACTTTCAGGGAGAGGCAGCAAGTAGGGTACAGGCCCCAGGCCCCGAGCTGTCACCAGAGGAAAGGAGGGTCCTGGAAAGGAAGCTGAAGAAAGAACGGAAAAAGGAAGAGAAGAAGCGACTGAGGGAGGCGGGCAGTGCCACAGCCCAGACCCCACCAGCCAGGCGCTCAGGTGCAGAGCTGGCCCTGGACTACCTCCGCGGGTAAGAGCTGCACATGCTCCCACCAAGGGTCTGCTGGCACCGCGGTCACAGATCTCTGTGTCCCCCTTTGCTTACACAATACCCTCAACCTCTGCAACCCCAGACTGGACCTCGGGATGGGAGGTCTCCCTGAGGCCTATGGTGGCCTCCTTCAAAAGCCCTGTCTCCAGGGGGTCTGGCCTTGCTCAGAGACAGCATGTGGGTGAGAGTGCTGGGCTGGAGAGAAGTGGCCTTCTGCTGAATGCCAGTCAGGTGCCTCCCCCGTGCCCTTCCCTGCCTGCTTCACATAAGCCTGGGGCAGCCACATACCCAAGAGTCAGGGCCCTGGGAACCTCCCTGTCGTGGTGCTCTCCCAACCCCACCCTTGGCCAGGGGCACAGCACAGGGCTGACCTTGGCTCAGGTCCTCATAGTTTCTCCTGTGGACTTTCCAACTATCCCCCCCAGCCACAGTTTTGGTTCCTTAAATGAACCCTCCTTTACCCATGCCAGAGGGGCTTTCCCATATGCAGCCTGATCACATAACCCCATCTGAGCGTCCCTGCATGTCCAATTGGGGGTGCTGCCCATGGCCATGGTCCCTCCATCTCATCCCCAGTAACTGGGCTCCTCCTGACCCTACTGCAACCACCTGTGCACGTGTGCCCCTGCTTCCTGCTCTGGGCGGTAGGGGAAGAAGCACTGACATGTGATATGATGTGGGTGATGCTGTGTCACAGTGCAGACACGGGTTGCCTTTCTTCCCGAGTGGAGTATTCAGGGCAGACCCAGGCACAGACAGGAGTGTGACAGTGGCAGCGGGGACAGAGAGCAAGGATGCTATCATTTGGTGGGTGCAGGTGCTAGCTGGGAAGATGAAAGCCGGTAGGTGGTGGACAGTGGTGGACAGTGGTGGCCGCACAACAGTATAAAGGTACTTAGAGCCTCTGAACTATGCCCTGCATCACCCCACAGCTGGTTTGACATGGGGGAAACCAAGGTGACAGGTAGCTGGGTGCCAGCCTGACAGAAGACAGAGGGGTAGTCAGAGTGGGTATCTAAGCACGTACTTCTGGGGTGGACGTGCCCAGTCCTGATGGCTGCGCTGCTCACCATCCTGTGAAGAGCGACCGCTTCCCCACGGTCACTAGCAGGGTCCTTTTTCATTTTTCAAGCTTCCCCTATTGCTAGTGTTATATAGAGTGACAGGGTTGGGTGCCAGTGGCATCCATGCAAGCATATCCTCTCAGATCAGAGCTGGATTCCTACAACGTCACCCAGAGTGGGTGGGGGCACCTTGTGGGGTGGACCTGCCCCTGAATGGGTGGGAAGACAGTCCCTGACTACACTGTCTCAGTGGTGGAAAGGAGACAGGGTAAGATGGCAGTCACTGTGGCACCTGTGGAGTGCTGGTAACCAGGGGCCCCTCTCAGACCCCATCTCCCTGTGAGCATGGATGCAGTCACACTAACATTGGCAGGGCCACAGAGGCAGTGTTCTCTCCCCTGTGGTCTCCTCTTGTGGGATCCGGCTGTCCGGTTGGGGTGGGACCTCAGGAATGCAGGATCTGCAACTCTGGGGCGTGGGTCTGGGGCCCACTGTGCCCTCCAGCTGCTTGGTCTTTCTGCTCCCAATGTCCCCATACCTGCCAGCAGTCAGCAGCCACTCAAAAGGCCATCACGGGGTGGGGGGCAGGCCTAGGGCCACTGGTTAGGTTCCTGGTCCAGAGGACACAAGGAGCTTTGGCTGCATTTGGATCCAGGCCTTCACCACAGGGAAGTCACAGGCTAGAACAAACTGGGGGAGGTGGTAACCTGTTCTGGGAATCCGCTCAATGACTGAGTGTGCGTGAGGGGCTTACGTGGGAACCAACCCCTGGTCTGTGGGCAGTCGAGGGACTGAAAGCACCACATAGTGGCTTGAATCAGGAAGGGGTATTGTATGGGAAGACACCTGCAATGGGCCCCAGAGAACTCAGAACAGCCGGTACCAGACCCAGGGCTGAGGCCCAGACCTCGTGGGATGGGGTTCATGGGTGCTGTTCCAGGGAGGTCTCCCTGGGGACATGGTGCTGAGAACCCTGAGCTCCCCCTCAGAGGACCCAGAGAGAAATACACCCTGATGTCTCTCCCCCTCCTACTTCCTACTGTGTCTGACAAAGGAGATGTTTCCAAAGGGCCCACTCCGTTTCCACAGAGCAGGTGGTAGAGGGAGGGGCTTTGGGCTGATAGACAGCAAAGGCACCTGGCACAGAGCCTGAGGGGTCTATCTCCAACCCTCACTCCTAAATGTCCCCTTTCCAAGAGGGCAAGTCAGCTTCCTATGGGGACATGTGAGCTTGCCTTCACCAAGCAGGTAGCATCCGAGACCCAGCCTTCTCTTGACTCTGCACGGAGTCCCTAGGTTCCAAGAAGGTAAGCTGATGTGGCAAGCTTTGCCCCAGGTCCATGTGTGAAGCAGGACAGAGCTGTGGTGTTCCCACCCAGAGCCCCAGCAGCTGGCAGGATCTGCCAGCCTTCAGGCCAGTGAGGCTCGAGGCCCAAGCCCTCCCCACTGTGCCCTCCAGCTGGAGTACTGCAGCCCTGTCGTCTTCTTCCCCTCCATCTTTCTGTCACAGCCACCTGTATTCCTGTGTCTCGGCCTCAGGCCTGAAGACTGCTGTCCATGGCAGTGGCTTTGCCCTTGCCTTACCCAGGATTCACTCTGCAGTCCCTTCCCAGCGTGCGGGTCTCACGTCTGAGAGCCTGGCCTGCCGTCCTGGCCCAACTGCTCTTTGTCCTCTTCTGCCCCCACAGCCCTAACAGCACTTAGGGGCCAGGTCAGTTTAGGCACCACCAAGCTGCTGTCGCAAAGACCAAGCACTGTGAAGCCCTGGGATAGGACATCTCTGTGCCTGTCCTGACAACTGAGCAGCCCAGACTGGCATGGCAGCCCTCCTTCTCCCTCTCTGTCTGCACATTGTGAGGCCCACAGGCTGTCCCAGCCCCACCTGTCCTGGCCCAGCCTCCACTGACCTGCCTAGACACAGGGAAACCTAGCTGTCCTACTCATCAGAGGAGGAAGGGCCGCCAGGGCTTGGCAATCCGGTGCAAGAGAAGCTTTTTTCCTAAATATTTTTTTAGTTGTCAATGGACCTTTATTTTATTTATTGATACACGGTGTTGAGACTCGAACCCAGTGCCTCACACATGCTAGGCAAGTGCTCTGCCACTGAGCCCCAGCCACAGCCTGCAAGAGGAGCTTTTTGAAGAAGCCTGAGCTCAGGAAGTTCAGAATGCTCACTTTATGGTTGAGAGGTCACAGATGAGTGGGACTGAAAGAAATGGCCGCAAGCCATCCAGCCTTTATATCCTGTTACAATGTGGGAACCCCAGGTTTTCCAAGGGGCCCCACAGCCTGCTGAGCTGGCACATCTTCCTGACCAGGACTCTCGCCACCATGCTGCCCCCAGCAGATTCAGCTCCTCACCTCAGAGAGGGGCTGTACAAGGCCCCGGGATACCACAGCTTCAGCCCTTAGCACAGGAGGGGCTTGGCCAGTCCGTACTCTGAGATGCTTGTCTCGATTTCCTCAGGTGGGCCCAAAAGCATAAGAATTGGAAATTCCAGAAGACGAGGCAGACGTGGCTCCTGCTGCACATGTACGACAGCGACAAGGTCTGTGCACACCCCAGGGGAAGGGTCTCCCAGGTGGCAGGCCTGTGCAGAGGTCACAAGCTGCAAGACTGTCCTGATGGTCCCATGGGGAGCCCAGCCTTCCCCCCACCTACATTTAAAGCAGAATGACTCGTGCCCCTGCCAGAACCCTGGCTCCAGCCTTGAGGGCCCAGGCAAACCTGCACCCTGTGGAGGCCCCTGCTGTGTGTGCAGGGCACAGGTGCACACTTCTTTTCAGAGCTGATTTGATTTCCTGGAGGGAGATGGGATCTAGACACACAACCCCAAGCCGGGAAGGGGTCTGAGCCTGGCCCAGCCCCTACAGGCCACAGTCATGTAGCCTCCACACTCCCGCGGGCACCCAGGGGCATTCCTTCCACACCAGCACCCTTGAGTTTCCTGTACACCGTTCCAGGCATCTCAGGAGCGCTGTATGTGTTAGGGTGCAGGGGACACCTGTGTCTGCAGACAGACCAGGTGAGGGCCATGCCTGTCTCACCTATGTCCCCATCTCAGCCAGGACATCCAGGCACAGATCTGTGGCTGCCATGGTGGGTGTGCATTGGTTTCACTGATCTTGAAATGGAACAAATTCAGAGGACATTCATTTCCCCCACAAAGTGGCAGGTCACAGAGATAAATATCCACACTCTCTCCCAAGAATGTTATAGTTCCAGCTCTTATAGCACCAGTTGCTTAGGTTGCATCTGTCTGTCATAAAGAAGGTCTCCAACTTTGTGCCTTTGCTTGTGGGTGGGTGCCTAGCATCCTCTGCCACCACTGGAAGACTATTTCCCCGCCATGAATTGGCACCTGTTGAAAATAAATTGGTGGGAGGTTGGTTTCTGTGCTCTGTTCTATTCTGTTGATCTATGTGCCTGTACTTATGCCAGTACCTTGCTGTCTGGAAGATCAGGAAGCCACACATATTGGTGACAGCTGCTCCTTTAGAGATGACAACACAGTATCCTGGAGCCAGGGCCCAGCCAGGCCTGCAGTGCACCCTGCCTTCTGTGTCCTCAGACCCCAGACTGTTTGAGCTTTTCTTCTTGAGTCTGCTGAGCTCTGTCAGGCCTGTCTTCCATCCCCCAGACTACTGTGAATGTCACTGCCTCACCCATTCCATTCTTTATCCTAGCAAATCTATTTCTTTAAAACTTGTTGGTTTGGTGGCATTCAAGAGGGCATGATGGTGCTAGCCTCTAAATCTAGGAGCACCTGAGGCTGGTGAAGGAAATGGCTGAGGCAGGGAAGGTGGCCCTCTCTTCCTGTGTGCCTGGACTCTTGTCCTCGGCAGGGCAGGAACACCATAGCTAGAGGGCCCTTCACATGGCCCTGCGGGGGCCCAGGTAGAAAAACACTGTGTGCCCATCTTCTGCTGCTCAGGTCTCTGTGTCACCTTGCTCTGGCCCTGACCCTCTCCTCTTCTCCCCCCGCCAGGTTCCCGACGAGCACTTCTCCACCCTCCTGGCCTACCTGGAGGGGCTGAAGGGCAGGGCCCGGGAGCTGACGGTCCAGAAGGCGGAAGCCCTGATTCAGGAGCTGGACGAAGCGGGCTCGGAGGCCGCCCTGCTGGAGAAGGCCCAGCGCCTCCGACAGGTGCTGCAGCTGCTGTCCTAGTGCAGGGATGGAGTGGCACTCGGCTGCCCTGGGCTCTTCAAGACACACTGAGGGTCTTCATTGGTCCAAAAGGAGAAAAGAGGGTCATGAGTAGGTCAAGCCACTTAGAGCTGGGCTTCTGGGCACCAGACCCTTGGAAGGACCCCTGGACCCTCCTTCTGAACTCCTGACCTGCCTTGACCAGGGACTGGTTTCATGGGTGACCAGGTCTATGTACCTTCAGAACAGCATGATCTCCGTGAAAAAACCCTGGGACACCAGCTCCAGCCCCAAGTGGCCCCAAAACCCAGATATCTATTTTTCTACCAGGGGTATTTAAGAACTGGCCCTCCCCACCAGCTGTGCTTCCTCGGTGTTTGGGGTGTTGGTCCCCAAGTCAATCCCTGCACCTTCCATCTGACAGCCCTTCCAGCGTGGGCCTCACCTCCTTGTGTGGCCTCCAGCCTGGCTTCAGGGAAACCCTTGGGGGCAGCTGTCTGGAGCCTGTGCCTGTGCTGCCCCATTTTCAATAAAAATCAGCCTGTCCTCACTCTGTGGTAGAGGTTGTGGAGGGCTGTCCGGGTAGGCATGCTTCAGCCGTCACTTCTATCTTCAGCAGGAGCTTCTCAGGACAGCATCCCTGCTCTCAGGTTGCCTTTTCCAGGTATCGTAGTGACCATCCTGGCCAGGACATACCCCTGCACAGCAGAACGGGGGTTCCCACCCCTGACTGTCCAGTCACATGGGATGTGCAGGAGCTGGGCAGCCAGGGAGAAGCTGCTGTTGGGGAGGAGAGCCGCCAGGGCCAGGAGGGCTGGGGCTGAATCCAGGCTACCTGCAGAAGACCTCAGGGCCCAAGAGTGGCCCCAGTGGTTCCCAGCCTCTTCAGCCAATGGGAGTGGCACCAGATCTTGCCTCGGTCACCTTCTCAGGCCTCAGCTGCCACCCAAGAGGGTGTCCTTAAATATACCTATGGCCCTTGCACATGCCTTTAATAAAAATGGAGTGCAGTCCCCCCTCTGAACAATCAGTATCCCCCTGGAGCCAGCCACTGCAGGACTCCTGAGGCAGATAGAGGACACAGCCCTACCTGGTGCTCTTGGGACATGTATCCAGCCACAGGGGCAAGCTACCTGTGAGTGCTCCAAACTCACCCTTCAAGCCACTCCAGCTACACAAGGAGACAAAAGTGAGTTGTTCCCCAGGCCTGGTGACTGATTCTGGTCACCAGCGCTTGGGTCAGAAGTGAAGCACCGTGTACGTGCACACCTGTGGGCAGTGGGACGTGCGGTGGCCTTGCTAGGGGCAGCCCCCACAGAAGCACAGCCCTTCCTCCCAAGGCCAGTCATAGCCTGTGGCCATTCCTAGCCTTGGCGAGCCTGTCATGCAGACCCCTCGTCACCTGTCACCACAGATCCCCTAGACTCTTGGATTAGAGGAGACCCATGGGTCTCACCGCCAGGGTCTCGCCTGCTTGCAGTCTGGGGCTCCTTGCTGCTCCCCAGGCAGTGTGTGGCCCTGGCTCTGCTCCTCCACCATGGAGATGCTCATCATACAGCATGCCTACAGATCCTGACCCATGTGGTAGCCACTGACCCACAGTGGCCCTTGGGAACAGCATGTGAGGAGTCCTGGGCCTTATGCCATTGGATGGAGTCACAAACAGACCGTTCTCCCCCACCCCCACCCCCCATGGATCTATGATCCGCCTGCTGGCACCTCAGCCCTGCAGAGCAGCTGCCTGCAGCCCAGGGTAACGACACATGTGCCGTTGGGTGCAGCTCCACTGTTGCCAAACTTTGAGGCGTCTTAGGTTAGTACACCAAGAAGTAGGTAGGCAGCAATAAAGACCCACAAGGTACAAAGAAGGACAGGTTGTTTTAAAAATCAGGGTTGATAGATCAAGAACAGCTCTTGGTTTTCTGGCAAGCCAAGTTAGAAAGGGAAATGTGAAGAAGACTCACTGTCTGTGGAAACCGGTGTTGGAGACCTGGGCCCACTTGACTTCAACACCAGCATTCCCCTGTCACCTGCTGGAGAAGGGCACTGTGCCTGTCTCCACAGCATCTCTGGCAGAATGTGCAGAGGGAGATGATCAAGAGATCACTTGGGACCAAGGCAGCTCCTTGAGGAGTCCCTTGATGCCACTCAGAGGTGCCACTCTCTGATGAGACCCCAGGGGGGGACCAGAATGTCAAGATTGAGCTGCGATGGGCTGGGGCTGTAGCTCAGTGGTAGAGCACATGTGAGGCACTGGGTTCAATCCCCAGCACCACATAAAAAAATTTTTTTTAATTAAAAAAAATAGATGGGCTGTGAGTCCTTGCCTTGCCTACAGCTCACAGGGATAAGTTGCATCTGGAAACCTCAAGTGATGGCTATCTCCCCCTCTGCCCCTGCAAACTGGAAGTATTCCCAGTGTCCATTGCGCAGGAACTGGACAAAGTGACACTTAACATCACAAAGGAAGAACTGTGGACACAAACAAGGAAGTGCCACCAGAGTCCACTCATGAGGTCCCAGGAGCTGCTCACTAACAGAGCAAAATGTACTGATGGAGCTGATCCAAAGGGCCAATGGGGCTCCAGGTGGAGCACTGTGTCCTGACGGAGATGTCCTGACGGAGATGGCCTCACATGCCTGTGGGCAGACCTTACGCCTAACATGCATAATTCCTCACTAAAGTTGATTTTAATAAACTAGTGTTCCCCAGGACACCTCTAGGACAGACACACCTTGAGGAGAAAGGTCACAAAGACACATCTGCAGGACAAAGCCTGCTGGCAGCATGAGGTGACAGTGTTTGTTTCCTCCTAAGGTTCCTCTTTAGCCGTGTGTGCACGTCTTGACCAACCAGAAACCACTGTTCAAAAGTCAGAATGGTGTTGGGAGCCATGGTGCGCAGGTGGGCTGGCACAGGAACTCTGGGTGAGGGGCAGGCGCTGACTGGGGTGGTGGGACCTTCATGGATCCACTGGGGCACCTGAGGAGGTAGCTTTTGTCCGCTGTTTCTTGAAGGATCTGTGTTTAGGCACGGTTCTGAGGCCGTGTTGGGTCTGTCTTGCGCTCTTCTTCCTGGAACATTGCCTGCTGTGTATTTCTCTTTTCCTGATTGTCCCTCTCTGACTTGTCTGATGTGGCAGGCTGGGCTTCTGCTGTCCTCCTGCTCTGCACTGGTGCTGGCCCCCACACCCTCCTCCTGGTGGCACAAGTTTTCTGGCAGCTCCTGGGCACAGGCATTGCCTGGTCACCATCCCCTGCCTCCCAGCTGAGCGCAAGTCACACCCCAACCTCGGTTTCCGTATCTGTCCGCAGGGACCTCATAACCTCTCATACCCTCCTCATTTTCGCCCGGGGGCGGGGGGGGGTGGTCATCACAGATGATAAAGTAAAGAACCTTCACACTGAGTAGTAATTAAGGTTAGAATCCTCTGGAATGCTCCTACATGGCATCTTGCCCAGCAGAGCAGGGATTCACCCACCTGCTTCCAAGCCACTTGCCCAGTTCCCGGCCTCCTGGGGCAGGTGTGAGCAGCATCACCCCAGGGTGCAGCAATGGGCAATAGTGGACAGCTCTCCCACCCAGAATCCAGCACATGCTGTAATTTTGCCTCATGCTGGAGATGGGCTTCTCCAGGCTGCAACTGGCCCTCGGACTCTGGGTGATGATCTCACGACCCCGTCACCTGTGTCTTGAGTGTCGGCTAAATCTCCCCAATGCTGGGAAGAAGGGGCCAGCATTACCCCAGATAGTCCTTGGGCCAGCTGAAGTTGAGGTCAGGTGAGATTAGTTTGCTCTGTGGAAAAGCTCCCCCTTGGTGCTGGGACAGGTGGGGTGCCCACCCAGATGGCCGTTCTTTCTGCTCTCAACCTTTAAATGACAGGTTCCAAACGTGAGAACAGAGGAGCAGATACTCATATGCCTGTCGCCTAACTCTTCCCCAGAAACACGTGACTGGATGTAGCCAAGCTCCCCTCACCTCCTTGACCCACTCTTTCACGTGACCACAGTGTCAGCACCTTGTCCCTGCAAGCCTCTGTTGCAGTGACCTTCCCACAGTTATTGGGAACTTGCTGTCCCCGCTCTGGGGACTGGAAATATGTCGTGCTGCTCGTGTGGGCCAGCCGCTCTCCCAATCTCGGGGCGCTACTCCATGGCAGGAAGGCTACAGTTCCTTTTCTTTCTCTAGGAGGGGCCACCTTTCGTGCATGTGAAGTCCCTGGACCAGGGACCCTATCCCACTCAACTGACTGGCCCGCATTGTCACAACCCTGAGTAAGCAGTGCTCCCCCAATCCTTGTGGCTGGGTGCCTGCCTTGCTCAGAAGGTCCCCCTTTGCTATTTGTGTGTCATCCACATCCCCAACTGGGCCTCCACTCACTCAGCAGCTGGTTCCTCTGTCCTCTACCAAGGTTATGGTCAAGGCGTGGGGCAGAGAGATTTGGCAGATGAGTGGGGATCAGAAGGACCCTAAGAAAGGTTCCTGGAGGTAGCAATTAGCTTGGAAGCTGTCCCCCTTCCCTTGCTAGCCCTCTGACTCTGGAGCCACCATGCTGACAAGAAGACCAACCCCCTTCCTCTTGTCACAGCGAGCCTTGAGTGTCCCCACCTGCAGCCCACCAGGCTCCCAGGACAATGGCCTGAATCGAGGCGGGTTTGAAGAAGGCTTGCCAGGTACAAAGCAGGACCCAGCTAAGGCTGGACCCCAAGACGGTGCACCACATGCGAGTGTCCATAGTGGCCTCTGTGGAGAAGCCCCGCCTCTGGAAGGCCTGGGAGCCATCAAGGGCAGGTGGGGGGCAATCTTGGCTTTCCTGCACCCCAGTTGTGTACCCCCGAGCCGACCGCTTCAATGGTGAAGGGAGGCTCCCCCAACGATCCCACAAATGAGCTGAGAATCAGGCAGAAGCACCGAAGCCTCCAGTCCAGCCCATATAGCCTGGAGACCTGAGAGACAGGTAGCCCTGTGGGCAGTGTGGTAACACCCAACCTGAGGCCCTGCCCCGGACCTGGGTGCATCATGAGAGAAGGGAAGCTTCTTGTGCTTCGCGCATGTCAGGGTGTGGGTCTCCCTTTCTGCACCAGGATCCCGTGAGGTTGGCAGACAGCAGGTCAGGGTCAGCAGCCTCCTGAAACGGCCTTGAACCACACCTGCCAACACAGCCTGACCTGGATGGTGGCTGCCTTGAGTGGCCCACCTCCCCTGAGGCGTCTCAGGGCTGCCCCTCCCTGTCCAGAGCATGGCTGTGGGAGTGCTCAAGGGCTTGCCTGGGACCTCCATTCCTCCACGTGCTGCCTATGCCCAGCCCTGGGGGAGATCAGCAGAGTGACCCTCTTGGGGTTAGGGGCCTCCCCTCCTCAGCAGCCTCTCCATTCCCTGTGGACACCCTGGTTTGGGGTTGGCCCCTGGACTCTCAGCATCTCCACCCACCTCCCTCAAAGTTCAGTGGTCCTGCAGTTGTGGTGACCCATTTCACCAGTGAGTAAACTGAGGCACAGGGTGGGAGGGATTTGTTCCAGAACCCCAGGCGTTGGGACAGACATGAAGCCTTGGCCCCAGTGCCCATCTCAGGCTAAGTGTGAGCTGGCCTCTAAGGAGTATGCACTTGGCTCGGACTGGGGGCTGGAGGCAGCAACTAGTGACATTCAGAGGACTCTGGGCATGGCTCTCAGGTGCACCAAGAATGAGGTAGGTCATGGGACTCCTGGACTAAGACCAATCTCTGGGTAGACGTCACCCCTGAGCCTAGGCATCACCCTGTATTTCCCTATACCCCAAAACTGTACATGCCTGGTGGACACTGGTCCCGGTAGGGAACTGGATAGGTAGGGAATAGATCAGAGGGACATACTAGGGGTGACTGCAGAAAAGGCACCAGAGGACATGAGCCCCCTACAGGTAGTGGAGGTAAGGAATGAGGAAGAAAGGCAGGGAGGGGTGTCCTGCTGCCCTGGGAGCAAGAGTGGAGGAGGGATCCATGTTTGTGTGCAATCCTGGGAGGGAGCCCAGGGCTTCAGAGGCACAGACTTGGGCGGGGTCAGGCTGTTTGACTATGGAGGGGTGCTTCTGTCCCCGTGGTATTCAGATGAGGTTGTTACCAGCCCATACTGGACAGGACAGCCCCACCCACCATGGACAGGTCTGTGGCATGGAAGCCATGTGGTGGCTGCGGTCAAGGTGGGGCCCAGAGAGATGCCTGGCACTGTGTGCTGGACATTGTCATGGCTGGCACAGAGACCACCATGGAGTGGGAGTGGGGCTTGGCACTGTGCCTGCCACTCACCCTCAGAAACGCTGCCCCCTACCCCTGCCATCCACATTAGAGGCCCGGGAAGGGCAGCCCCTGGGAGTTTCCCAGTGGAAGCTCCTAGGGCCAGGGCACTGCCCGCAGGGTGTGGGCACGGGGCCGCATGGTGAAGGCTGGGGCAGGAGTGGCGTCCAGGGCAGTGGGGCTGATGCCAGATGGAGGCAGCAGGCGGTAGCGCTGGAGGAGGCCAGCGAACAACAGGAAGAGCTCCATCCTAGCCAGGCTCTCCCCCACGCAGACTCGGCGGCCTGTGAGGGTAAGGGAGACACCAAGTGGGTGCCAGGCCTGCTCCCAGAGGGGGTGTCCCTGTGGGGGTGCTGGGGAGCGTGCCCTGAGGGCCAGAGACCAGGCATCTCAGAGGGGCTTGTCGCCTGTGGGCCTCTGGCCCCAGCCCTGGTACCTGTAGAGAAGGGCAGGAAGGCGGCCCGCTTCACGAAGTGCCCATCCGCATCCAGGAAGTGGCCAGGGTTGAACTGGTCTGGGGTCTCCCACTGTGTCTTGTCCAGGAGCACTGAAGTCAGCAAGGGAATCACAGGTGTGCCCTGTGGGGGCCAAGAGGAGGACCCCAGAGCAGGAAGATGGGATGAGGGGCCTCTGAGGAGGTTTCCCTGAGGATGAGGCTCCTACTGACCCCACCTAGCTGACCCTCGGGACACAGAGGAGGACCCTGATCCCCAGGCTCTGGTGTCCCAGGCAGGAGGTGCTGTGAGGTTGGGGTGACCCTTTCCTTGTTCCAATGGGGGAATCCCTGTGCTGTCAAGCACCAGCCCCAAGACTTGGCATCTCAGAGTCCAGCGATCCTGACCAACCCTGAGCAATAGGGAAGGAGAGAATGAGGCCCAGCTGGGCCCCCACCTTGGGGAGCAGGTAGCCACCCAGCTGAGTGTCAGCTGCTGTGCAGCGGGGCACGTGGGGCAGGAGCGTGATGTACCGCTGGACCTCATGCAGCACTGCATTGGTGTAGGGCAGTACCCTTTGGTCCTCAGGCCGAGGCAGCCTCCCAGGGCCCAGTACATGGCCCAGCTCCTCCTGCACACGGCCTGTACCGGAAAGTGGTACCATGTCTGAGGAAGACCCCATCACCTTGCCCTGGGGGTACCCAGCCACATGCGAGGCCTCACCTTGCACGCCTGGGTATTTGGCCATCAGCAGGATGGCCCACTGCAGTGTGGCGGAGGTGGTCTCTGTGCCAGCCATGACCATGTCCAGCACACAGGCCACAGCGTTGTCCTCTGCAAAGAGCCCCTCTTGGTCATCCCCCTGTGAGGCAGTATGGGCAGAGCTTGAGGTCTTGGAGTCTGTCCACCCCAGCCCCAAGCCCAGGACAGAAAAATGAACACACAATCACCACCTCCAGTGCCCCAAACCAGGCACTAGGGATGTCCCATTTCATGCCTCCCCAGCCCCAGTCCTGGGGTCCACTGGGACTCCCCACAGGCCTCCTGGTTTTCCCCTACCTGGCCCTGCTGGATCAGAGCATCCACATAGCTCCGTACAGGGCCACCCTGGGGCGTGGGGGAGGCCCGTGCCTGCAGGAGAGTCCTCAGGATGACACGCACTTCCTCGATCTTGCGCAGGACAGGCCGGTGCAGCTGGAGCAGGGTCCCCAACCAGGGGTAGATGTTGAACAACTGGGACAGAGGGCAGGGTGGTGGGGTGGGGCCAGGCACAGCCACCTGGTCCCCACGGAAGGAGCCCGTCCATCCAGCAGCAAGGGTGTCCCCATCCAGGGCTTCAAAGGTGCTGAGGTATGTGCCGCCCATGGCCACAAGAGGGCGGCTGGCTGGAGGCCCGCCGCCCTACTGGGGGTCCGGGGACTCGGGAAACCTCAGTCGCAAGCATGGAGCCATCTGACAGTAACACATCTGGTGGCTTTATGCAAACAGGCTGCCTGTGACCATGCCCCCTTCCACCTGCTAAAGTGAGGAGAAAGGAAGAGGGGGCATTTGCTGCTGCAGATTATCACCCACTCTGGGAGTTGCACAGAGGTGGAATCTGAGGAGCCAGGGCGTCCCCCACCAACAGGTGGATGCCAGCTGCCGTCCAGCTTACCCTCGGACACTTGCTTTCCCAGGACACCAGCAATCGTGGGCAGAAACTCCTCAAGGCGCTCCAAGGTAAGAATCAGGAACAGGTAAGAAGGGCCATGGGACTGCCCCACAGAGCCCCATTGGGAGGGACTCCAGGGGAGGGCTCTGGAGTTGGGCGGGTTGGCCTGGTGCCCCTAAGAACAGGACAGCCTCACTCTGACTACAGTGGGTCACGGGCTGCAAAGTTTGAGGACCAGCCCCAGGCATTGCCGTGCTGTCCCACCTCACCTCCTGGGACCTCATGCCAGGGACAGCAGAGTGACAAAGAACACCTGCCGCCAAGTCCTGCTGTCAATCCCACAAGCAGCACACCTGGTGTCTAGGCTTCAGCTAACTCACAGTTAGAAGGACGTGTGGAATCTGTAGACTTTGGAAAAGAATGATGCGTATTCCCATGATGTCAGAGAACGGATTTTGTGGTTTCTGTAATGTGGTGAAGGACCTGGGCTGCACCCACGTCTCTGGGTCCTACCCACCTGAGGGAGGAGTGTCTGGCCCCACTCCTCACCTTGGAGCAGGTGTGACTGTGACTGATGGGGCACTGGAAGAAAATGAGGGTCCCCTGCTCCAGACCTACTATTTCCCACGGAGCACAGAGGCTGGTCTGCGGGCGTGCAGCCAGGGGGTCACCAAGGGGGTACAGACTCAAGCTCTCGACCCAAGTCCAGGCTCCTTTCGCTGACGGTTGGGGTGAAGGATGATGCTGGACACCCCCAGTCCTACTCTCCCCAGGGTCTACCCTACCTCCAAGGGCTCAGCTCCCATGAGGCAGCGACCTCTCACCTGCAGGCTGGGGGACCCCAGGAGAACCATGACCTCATCAATGAGACCCAGCAGGGACACAAACATGGTGTCCTGGTAGTCAAACCGCTGGCCGAAGAGGAGTGCGAAGGTGATGTTGGAGGGAGCCCAGCCCAGCAGGGCCAGAGGGAAAGGCCGGCCTGCAGGGGAGACGGGCCTCAGGCAGGCAGGGGACCCCAGGGAGAGGTGTCCCAGCCCCTGCTCACCTCCATAGCTATCCAGCTGTCCCATGAGACACGCCAGCTCCTGCAGCACCTTGTCGGCCATGGGCGCCTGCCCCACGCCCAGGCTATGCAGTACACGCACTGTGAATTGGCGGGCAGCCCTCCAGCGCGCCCCAGAGGAGAAGAAGATGCCTGTGGGCAGACGCGGAGATGCTGTGTGGCCGTCACCCTGCCCTACAGGGTAGGCAGGAGCAGGTGGGGCCACCTGGGTCAGCAGGGCCTGGCAGAGGGGTCTCGGTTCCACCCTCCTGTTCTCTGGGGGTTGGCCAGGGTTAGCAGGCCCCCTCTTGGCCTGTGATGGGAAGACCCCTAAGGGCTCCTGTTCCCCTGGCCCAGCACCAGCCCAAAGGTCAGTCCCCACCTTCTACGGCAGAGGACCACACACCTACCCCCGCCTTGCTGGATGAGCTGAAAGATGGGGATGGGGGGCCGATCCGCCAGCTCCTGCCCGGTGCCCACCAGGGCCTCCCTCACAGCCTCATAGCCGGACAGCACCACAGTCTTCTGGCAGCCCAGGTGGACGGTGAACATTGGCCCATAGCGCTTGGAGAGCTGGTGGGGGCAGCAGGGGTCAGGTGGGCAGTCCCTACCCACCAGGCCCTCTGGGGTCCACTTGGGCAGAGCACTGCTGGGTGGAGGAACTGGGGAAGACTCTGCAGGGCGTAGCGGGCATGCAGGGCCATTTTTGGGGACCCATAGAACCATCCCCAGTCTACTGGGGTGCTGCCTTTTGGTGCTGGGAATGACTTTCACAGGTTTTCTTTTCAGCAGGAATCCCAGAGGCCCTCAAGACCCACGACCAGGCTGCAGGTGGCCTGGGACTGCACAGGCAGCAGGCTAGACAATCCCTCCAGGCTGTGGCCCTCTTTGGACTTTAGCTTGGTCAGTGGCATCCCCCAACCTGCACCAAAGGAGGGACAGAAGCAGCATCCAGGTGACAGCTGGTCAGTTCTGACTCTGACCTTCACTGGCTGAACAAGGACAGAGAACAGCTCACATCCAGGCTGCCCCCGAGCCTTTTCCATCACGCTCCTCCCCTCTGTCCTTATGGCATATCTGCCCAGGAAGGTGTCATCTCCCCCTTTTTAAGCACAGGACACTGAGGTTCAGGAGCAGGAGGTGATCTGCCTTTGGCCACTCATGTCTGAGGATGGAGCTGAGCCTGCTGTCCTGCCCAGCACCAATCTAGGGCCTGAGCCCCTGAGCCTGGTGCCCAGGGCCAGGTGGGGCCCAGGTGTCCTGCCCTAGGGAAGGTGTGACAAGGCCAGTTCAGCCCAGGGCTGCAGCCCTCTGCTGCCTGCCCACCTGCAGTCCTGGAGAGGCCATCTGGGGGACTCTGGAGACAGAAGCCCCTTGTAAGGAGAACTCTTAGGAACTGTAATGGGGCAGGGGATGGGGGCTGGTCTGGTGAGGGCTTTGGGAACTAAATGGAAGGGGCTGCTTTTGGGTTGTGGGGACAAGGTGCCAGCCCATGCAGGGGACAGGGCTGGTCAGCCCTTATAGGGCAGATCCGGGCTCTGTGTCTCCCTGAGTCAGCCTGCCCACAGCTGCAAGGCAGGACAGCCAGCCTTCAACTTGGCTAGCTCTTCAAGGAGGAGCCACACCTAGGGGGCATCCCACCCGCACCAACCTTGACCTTCCTGAAAGTGCTTCCCAAAGGCTGCCTCCTGCAGGAGCTCTCCCTGCCCGCGAACCCTGGGCAGCTTCCCTGTGGGGTGGGTGGCTCTCTCTTCCCAAGATCAGGGTAGGGGCACTCCTCTTGCCTCCCAGTGGGCCCAGCACCATGCTGAATGGATGGTGTAATCTGGGTTTGGCTTTCTCAGGGACAGGCCTGGGACATGGCCACCATCTGGCTGAGGGAGTTGAGCAGGGCTACCCAGGCCTACCTCCATCAGTGACCGGTCCTGTTGCGAAACACTCAGCAAGTGCAGGTTCCCCAGGAGCGGCAGCGGGCGAGGCCCGGGGGGCCATCGCAGGGCTGGGGAGGGGCTGCGGGCAGAGGCACGGAGCAGCCCCCAGAGGCCCAAGAGGACCAGGAGCCCCAAGAGCAGCAGGGCCATGTGGACAGCGGGAGGCAGGGCCCCAGTTCCCCTCTGGGCCCCATCTGCCCGTGCCTTATAGCCTCCCTCCCAGAGGGCGTGCCAGCACCCCACCCGCCCCACCACCCCGAGAATGTGGAACAAGCAGTTTGCAGGGGACAGCCCCAGCAGGAGGCTTAAAGCTACAGCTGCGTGGAATGCAGGTTGAGTGTGTGACAGGGGCCCAGGGGTGGCTGGGAGCCCAGGAGGCCATGGGACTGTCTGGGATCAGGCATCCGAGATCTCTACACCCCAAGAACTTGCCCCAGGGTCCAGGCACTCGGGCTGTTGTATCCCTGCCTCTGGGGCTGCCAGCCTTCCTTGGTCTCCCCATCAGAATGGGGCTCTCAGGGCTCCAGGGCCTGGGCCTGCCTCTGAGGGGAGGATCCACCCCCAACCGCCCCCAGCTCTGAGTTTCCCTCAGCAGGACCCTGGGGAGAGGCAGGTTCCTGGGTGTCTTCTGACACCATCTGTCTCCTATCAATGTCCAGGGAGGGCTGACAGTGTGCAGCCCCTGGGGACCACCCACGAGGGGCCTCAAATGCCAGGGCCTTCGGAGCCTCAGATTCATGCCGGGGCTGCTCCTCCCACCGCAGCCTGTTCCTGTGGGGGTTCTGCAGGGGTGACACTGAGGGATGGGGCAGGGGACGCAGTTCACCCAGAGGGCCACCCTGCAGGCAGCACTGTGATAGGTGTCCCAATGTTTTCCGCTAAACCCTGATGGCAGAGCCTGGAGAGGAGGCGCTGCTTTGGGAATGAGCTGTGAGGGGCGGGTGGCTCTTGGCACCAGAAGTGGCTGGGCCTGCTTCACACCACCTGCCCTGACACGAGGCAGCCCTGTCGCTGCCAGCAGGGGCCCCTCCATGAGGCCCATCTCCCAGAATGTCATCCACGCCCTGCACAAACCACAGAGTCATGGCAGCCAAGGCCCTTACCCTCTCAGGTATTGTCCCCCTTTGATAGGCTGTGAAAGGAAAGTCCCAGCCTTGGTGGCACACCTCCTGAGACGGGGCACTCACCACCTCCATCCCCTGTACAGTGAGAGATACGGAGGGAAGCATGTTTGTCCCACCTTCTGGAGCTCTGGGGCATTCTGCTGAGCCCCTGGTACCAAGGTCACTACAGGGTGTCCAGGCTGGGGAGTCCTATCTGCCCAGGGAAGTCCATTTAATTCAAGAAGCACTTTTTTTTTTTTTTGTACCAGGAATGGAACCCAGAGCCTTCAAACACTGAGCCACATCCCCAGCACTTTTTATTTTTTATTTTGAGACAAGGTTTTGCTAAGTTGCTGAGGCTGAATTTGAACTTGCAATCCTCCTGCCTCAGCCTCCCAAGCTGCTGGGATTACAGGCATGCGCCACCAAGCCAAGCTAAGAAGTATTTATTGAGTGCCTGTTATGTGCCAGTTTCTACCAGGGGCTAGGGCTACAGAAATTGGCATAGGGACCCAAAAGTTCCACTAGGCTCTCACAGCCCTGTGGACTATGGTCATGTAAGAGTTTGCCGCCAAAAATGCCTCTAGGGCTGGTGGGGACACCGTGAAGGCAAGAAGGCCAGGGGATGCTTTGGAAAGGATGTGGTGTCTGGGCTGCAGCTGCCGAACTGGGATGGCCCAACTTGCAGACACCTCGGACCTGAGCTTGAGGTGGGGTGAAGAGAGCTGGGAAGGTCCAGAGCAGGTCAGGAAAAGACTTTCAGGGAGCTCAGTGCCAGGGACCCCCGGGAAAGCACAAGCCCCACACTCACAGCTGGGAAACCTCCTGTAGCCACCGCAGCAAAGAATCAGAGCAGTTTACTCTGCAGTTCCAGGGCCAAGAGTCTGAGGTCCAGCACCTGCAGGGTGGCTCCTTGTGAACATTCTAAGGGACAATCTGTTTTTGTTTTTTTTTTTTTTTTTTTTTGGTACTTGGGATTGAACTCAGGGGCACTCGACCACTGAGCCTCATCCCCAGCCCTATTTTATATTTTATTTAGAGACAGAGTCTCACTGAATTGCTAAGTACCTCACTTTTGCTGAGGCTGGTTTTGAACTTGCGATCTTCCTGTCTCAGCCTCCCAAGCCACTGGGATTTCAGGCTTGTGCCACTGTGCCTGGCGACAATCTGTTCTTTGTCCCCAGCTTCTGGTGTGGTTCACACCTGGGGCTCACGCATGCCTCCCTCAGCTCCGCCTCCTCTCCCATGCCTCCTCCCTGTGTCTTCTCTTTTTCTGTCTGACACTTTGGATTTAGGGTCCACCCTAATACCAAGGGATCCTCACCTCAGTTACCTCTGCAAAGACCCTGTTTCCAGATAAGGGAAACATGTTTCGTAGGCCACAATTCAACCTGCTGGAACATGGCTCCCCTAGGTATGCACATATCCGTGTGTCTCTTGTCCATTTAATCTGCAGTACGCACACCCCAGGCAGTCAGGACCATAGGAGGGACTTCGTGAAAGGAAGCCCCTCCCCCTGGGCCACTTGCTTCTGCCCCATTTGTACCTCGTCTCCCATGTACCCTTCCAGAGACACAGTGGCACCTGGTCTCATTTATGCCTCTTTTAAAAATTAGCTTTATTAACAAACAAGGACCGTGTGTTTAAAGCATACAGTATGAGTGACACATGTCCACACCCATGAAGCCATCACCACTGCCAAGACAGTGAACATCCCATCATCCCCCAAACCCTTCAAGCCCTGTCTGCCTCCCTCCATTTCTTGCTTGCCATTTTGTATTTTTAGCATGACTGTGTACCCTGACAAGACAGGGCTTCCTCTCACAGTTGCCTGGTCCAGGGCACGGCAGGTACCAGCATTCTAAGTTCAGCCTTGGGCCATCAGAGAACGTCCTAGTAGAACATGGGTACAGCTCCTCTGTGTACACCTGCTAGGATGCTGCAGTGTCAGCTTGCAGTGGCATCACTGGGCCAGAGGGATTTTCCTTTTTGATTCCAGTGGACATTCCCCACACTGACTGCAGATTTTTCTGATCAGACTTGATCAGGACCATCAGATCCCAATCTTGAGTTGTGTCGTGGCCTGGTTGAATGAAGGTTCAGGCCACACCTGGTCCTGCCACCAGAGGTGGGGCTGGTGGGTTTACCACAGGGGTCAGGAGTCAGACAGAATGGGTTCCAAGCTCATTCCCTCCACTTGCTAGCCATGGCGACGGCAGCATCCAAAGAGCCACACAGGTGCTCCCAACCACACAGCCTCCATATAATACAAGTTTGCCTTCCTCCCATTAAGAGAAGGGGCCTGGGTTTCCCTGCCCTTGAATCTGGAGGGCACTCCTGACCATGATGGAAGCAGACCTGCAGGGCTGCCAAAGCTAGATCACAAAAGAGATTGCAGTTTCCACCTGTTTCTCTGGACTGCTTGCTCTCAGGCCCAGCCGCCATGCTGTGAGGGGGCCCAAGCAGAATAGCTCAGGTGGAGGGAGCCGACTGGTGTGATTTAGTCAAGTGGAAAGGGCTATTTTCTGGGTAATAAAAGCTTCTATTGTTCGAAGCCCTGGAACCTTATTAATGAATAACCCAGTATGCAGTCCCTGCATGGTCACACTCCCACCCAACGACCTGTGCCCACTCATCAGCAGCCAGAATGTACCTTCTGCAGTAGCCCATTCCAGCTGATACCATGTGGTGCTGTCTCCACCAAGACCTGTCCAGACTGCAAGTTCCTGAGCAAAGCAAATCGTTGCTATTTCCTATCATTAAATTTGGGGCCACGTGTTACAAAGAAGTAGGTAATCCACATGCTGGCTCCATAATCTTTTTGTTTGTTTTGCAGGGATGGGGGTCGAACCCAGGGGCACTGTACCACCAAGCTACACCCCCAGACTTTTTCCAAATTTTAGTTTGGGATAGAGTCTCCCTAAGTTCCCAGTCTGGTCTCAAACTTGCAATCCTCCTGCCTCAGCCTCCCTTGACTCTATAGTGTTAAAGGAGGGATTTGACCCCTTTGAGTTCATTCTCTCTCTGTGTATGAGGTGACAAGGGTAACATCATCCTAACTATATTCACTCAAAACGATCGATTGAGCACCTATCTGTGCCAGGTATTGGTCTAGTTACTGGGGATCTCATGTGAAAAGTGCCTTGTGTGAAAATAACACAATAGAGTTCAGAAAGGTTAGCTCTTTCCCCACTTTTCCTCTCTGTGAACTGCAAATAAAAATTTCTACCAGTTAAAGATCTCATATAAAACAATAATCATTTGCGAGGAGACAGTCAATTAAAAGCTGGCCTCTGCTACGTCCCTAGTTCCTCAGTGCTGCCAGACAGAGGCTGTGGCAACCTCAGGGGAGGGGGCTGTCCTTTACTGCTAAGTGGTGTGATCTAGTCAAGTGGAAAGGGCTATTTGCTGGGTAATAAAAGCTTCTATTGTTCGCAGCCCTGGAACCTTATTAATGAATAACCCAGTGTGCAGTCCCTGGTTTCAGCCATGTAAAATGGTTGTTTATGTGACAAGAACAAGGTGCAATTTTTCCTTTTGTAGTTTTAAGTGGGCCCAGAGCCCCAGAGCCTCTGGCAACTGAAATGGGCTTCCTAAAGTGTGGGACTTCCCTGGGTCCTTGCAATGAGGTCTCCTCTGCTGGGTGTTCACGAACATTCAGGGTTGTCTCTGGGCAAAGAGGTGAATCCAGACTGGAACACAGGAGTCCAGTGGTGTGTTGTGTTGGGGGCAGGTGTGCAGGGAACAGCAAGCGGAATGCTGGAAGGCTCCAGAGAGGTGATCCAGTCAAGCTAAAGGAGGGGCAAGCTCAGGGTTTGCTGGCCGGGCGCCTCTCTGAAACCCCTCTGGGAAGCTGCTGAAGTCAGCTTCTCCATCCAACAGTAGAAGCAGCTGTGATGTTGTGTCCCTTCAGAGCACTGGGGTAAGAAAGCTCATCCAGAGGGGCCAGCTGTGAGCTCTGTGTTGCTTCCTGCCAGGCCTGGCATGTGGTTGGTGTGCAGTCATTGTTAATGGGTGGATGGGAGAAGAGATGGAAGTCGCAGCTCAGGCAGAATCTGGAATGGCCAGTAATCTATCTCCTTCATCATGCAGCTGAGGAACGTTGACATGCAGAGGATAGGTGGTCCCCAGGTTCAGAGCTGGGCAAAGGCTCTGCAGGTGAGCACCAAGGCCTCCAAAGCCCTTTTTCCTCTTGTTATTGTTTCTATAACAACAGTTCTATGCAAATGCCAGAGGCTTCACTTTTGTTCCAACAGAATATTCCCCCAATATTTCTAGCCCCCAATACCTAAGAATGTCAATTTTCTTTTTTTTTTTTTTAATTGGGTTGTTGCAGATATATTCAGTTAAGATGAAGTCATTAGGATGATCCCTAACTCAACATTAGCAGGTATCCTTATAAAGAGGCAATCTGGACACCCAGGGAGAAGGCCAAATGAAGTGGGGGCAGGGGGGGGGTGCTACTTCTACCAGCCAAGGAACACCAAGAGTTGGCAGCACACCCCAGTGCCTGGGTCTGAGTCTCCCTAGAGCCGGCAGAAGGGACAGCCCAGCCCAATTTGATCTCAGACTTCTGGCCTCCTGAACCACAGAAGACTTCTGACTTTTAAGCCTCTGTGTGTGGTACCGTGTTATGGCAGGAAGCTAGTGCACACTCCCTCATGTGATGCATTTCTTGCCATGATTAGGCCCTCTGCTCAGATGGGAAAAACGACTGGAACGTGACAGGCAGCCGCCCAGGCTTCGGCTGGAGCTTCCGGAGTTGAGGGAAGGAGGCTGGAACCAGAAGCTGGACCTGGGGCCTTGCCCCGGGACGTGGTGGGGGCGGGGCCTTGCCACGGGGCGGGGCGGACCCGGAGCTCGATGCGCTCGGCGCTCCCAGAGGCTTGCTCGGTCCTCGGCTGGCAGCCCTGCGCACGCCGCCCATCCCGCTCCCTGAAATCCGGCACCGCCGTCATGTCGACCGCCATGAACTTCGGGGCCAAGAGCTTCCAGCCGCGGCCACCGGACAAGGGAAGCTTCCCTCTGGATCACTTTGGTGAGGGTGGGAGTCGGCGGGCGGCATCATCGTGGCTCGCGAGTGTAGCGGCGGAGCCTTGGGGAGGGGAGGGTCCGAGGAAGGGGAGGTCCTAGGAGCGGGGTGGGTCCGAGGGGAGGACCCTGGGAGGATCCTATCTGAGACCGGTGTCCCAGGGGGAGGGTCTGAGGAGGGGGCGGGTACTAGAAGGGGAGGATCTTGGGGCGGGTCCTGAGGGAGGGGCGGGTCCTAGGGGTAGGTCTAGGGGAGAGGCTGGGCCAGAGGGTGTTCCGGAGTCCTGGTCAGCTAGCCCTGGTCAGCTAGTGCTGGTCAGCTCAGGGCTGTGTTCCGGGCTCCAGTGTCAGGGATCCTGGGTATGATTCCCATAGCCAGCAGTGCTCCAGGCCCGTCCCAGGCTGCTGGACTGGACCTGCCCTGATCCTCTTTGGGGGCTGACAGAGAAACAGGCTGGGGGACCCTGTGAACTGAAGGTCCCCATGGGGGCCTGGACTCTCCTGGTGAGAGCTTACTGGGACTATGGCTCTAATGTGACAGGGATAGTACACCGACTCCGCGAAACAGAATTAAGTTCTTTTATATATATATTAGCTTTTTAAAATTTTTTTTTGGTGTAAATGGACACAACACAATGCCTTTATTTTTATGTGGTGCTGAGGATCGAACCCAGTGCCTCACACTTGCAAGGCAAGTGCTCTGCCACTGAGCTACAGCCCCAGCCCCCTATAGCCCCAGCCCCCAAACAGGATTCAGTTTTAATCTTCCTCTTGCTTTTACTCAAAAGTGTGGTGCCAGAACATGAGCAACTGTTATTAGTGGTAAAAGTGCCAGTTATTTTTATTTTTTTGGGGGGGAGGGTTACTGGGGCTTGAACTCAGGGGCACCCAACCACTGAGCTACATCCCCAGCCCTATTTTGTATTTTATTTAGAGACAAGGTCTCACTGAGTTGCTTAGTGCCTCACTTTTGCTGAGTTGGCTTTGAAGTTGTGCTCCTTTTGTCTTAGCCTCCAGAGCTACTGGAACTATAGGCGTGTGCCACCAAGCCCAGCCTAGATTCTTGTTTCTTTCTTTTAAAAAAAAAAAATATATATATATATATATATATATATATGCTGTTGATAGACCTTTATTTTATTTATTTGTATGTAGTACTGCGAATCGAACCCAGTGCCTCCCACAAGCCAGGCAAGTGCGCTACCACTGAGCCGTAGCCTCAGCCCTAGATTATTGTTTCTTCCCAAATATTTTGTTGTGAATTTTTCCAAAACACAGTGAAGTTAAAAGAACTCTTACCATAAACTCCCCTGTCCCACTATCTTGATTCTGCCCTTAACATTTTACTGCACTTGGTTTTGTCTTTTGAGTGTCATTTTCCATGTTTCTGAAGAAATCAAGGTTTGTTTTTGTTTTCCCTGTGCTGGGGATGTAGCCCGGGGCCTCACGCCCGCTGGTCCCTATGAGGGAAACAAGTTTTGAAAAGGACAGTGATGCCACTCTAAGGCTGCTGTGTTGGCAACTCATGTTTTCACTGTGAAAAGAAGACATTTTCCTTATCCTTCTAGGCGAATGTAAAAGCTTTAAAGAGAAATTCATGAAGTGTCTCCGTGACAATCATTTTGAAAATGCTTTGTGCAGAAATGAATCAAAAGAATATTTAGAGTGCAGGATGGAAAGGCAAGTAAAAGCTCACTATTATGACTTCTACTCCCACTTCTCCAGCCAAAGCTGTTTTCTTCCCTAAAAAGCCATTATTCAGCCTGGGAGTTCAACTTGTGTATTTCAGAACTATAGGGCGTTTGCTAGTGTAATTGAAGCTTATCACATGAGATTGTACTAGAAGCTGTTTGGCAATCCTGGGAACCGTTTCTTGAGTGACAGCATTACCCATGATTGCATTCCTCAGAGCATTTTCTTTCCAAACTTGGGTGCTACTGACCTGTCATTAAGGTTTTAGAGTCGTACATCATAAAATGCTGAGTCAAAAGATTTGAAGATTGTGCGGGTACACAGTTTATTTCTTTCACATTCTCAGACTATAAAAATATGCATTGTGTCATTTTGTTCCACTTAAAGCTGTTTGGAATGTGACAGGAAGACAATAGACTATTGAAAAAATGATGAAAGATGGATGATTCTTCTATCTTAACTAGAATTCACCATCGTTCACTTTTAAACAAAAACAAAACATTTCTAACTGTGACCTGTGAAGCTTTTACTTAAAGTAAGAGCTATTTTAATCCTTAATGTGACAAAACATGTAACATATAATTATATGATCATGGTGGGAGTTTTCATTTTTTGCTTTTTTGAGGCCACAGTCAGCTCCCTAAGGAATTTAATGTTCAGACAGGTGATACCGCCAGTTATGGATGACGAGTTCTGCTCCCTCACATGTTGAAGTTTGAACATTAGAGAAGCACACCGAGGCAAGCATATAAAGCAAAGTTTATTTAAAAAGGGGTAACATAGACTTCTCCCAGGACAGAGAAGGGGACCACAGCTGGCATCCTGGTATCCCCAGAAGTGAGGGTGTTCTGCCTTTTTAAGGTCTTAGGCTTCCTTTGTTCTCCTGCTCTTTCCCTATCTCTCCTTCCTGCGTGTGTGACTAGCCCCTGGAATGCTGGGTGGGATGGCCCAAAGGTGGGAAACAGGTGGACTGAAGGGGGAAGGACAGGATGGAGCAGCCCTGGACACATTAATTAATAACCTTATAGTTCTCTGTAGGGAGGGGCAATTCCTGGGACAGGTTACCTTGGTTAGAGCTGGGGCAGGTTCTTGATAAGGGTGGAGAAAGGGCTGTCAAGAAATTAACATTTCAATCCCTCAGGGGACAGTCTCTACTTCCCAGTTTCACTTAAAATTGTCTTCCTTGATATGATCTGACTTGATTTACCTATCTATACTGACTGCTGTCTAATTCTGGCTTCACAGTTTGACATCAGTGGTCTACTTAAGCCCTCTTTTCAGTTTGAGCAACAAACTTTGAACACTTCCTCAAGGTTCAGATGTGTGCCTTCAGTGTGGACCTTTGGGACTGTAAGGGTGATGGGCTTTGGCATTGTGGACCTCCTGTGAGGCCCTTGTCCTGCCTTCATTGGTGTTTCTTGGGCTCACAGGGACTTGAATGTCCCAGGGCCACACTAAATCCAGCTCCTGCCACCTCTAAATTGCACATGGGTTGGAACCACATCTTTGAATATCTTAAGCCGATAGATCTTTAGGAGGCTAGAACTGAGAATTTCTTCTTGGTGCTGCCAAGCTTTCGAGAAGAGTGATCTCTGCCTGTGCCTGGGGTGTAAGCAGGTCTAGATATGCTGGAGAAAGTTAGCAAATAAGATGAGCATTCCATGGGCTGTCCACAGAGCTGGGCCCAGGCCACAGCTGCTCCTACCTGGAGTTTCTTCAGAGGATATGGTGGATGTGGGAGCCGGAAAGGTGTCTGGCCTCCCTGATGAAGGCTACCAGGCAGGTCTGGGAAGAGGAAGTCTCACTTTCCCTGTGTGTCCTGGGCTGAGCTGCAGGCAGCTGCCCGCATCTGCACCTGTGCTGCACTCAGTGCTGCTTGGATGCAGCCAGTGAGGATAGCAGGAGAAAGGACATGGTGCCACAACGTTCAGTGGTTTCACTGACTGGCCAGGTGACATTGAGGCAAGTGTGCAGCTGTGTATGTTTTGTTTTGCTGAGTTATTTCAACTGGATAATTGTGGCTGGTTGGTTGTTCATGAAAATCATCAAACATCATAAAAGATAGTCAAGGTTGGCCTACCCAGACTCAGGTCAGGATATCACACACCTGCTGCTGGCCCATGTAAAACATGAGCATGCATGTGTGCACGTACACACACACCCACACTTTTAACCATTTACTTTCTTCCTTCCTTTTTTCTGTGCTAAAATCCCAAACCCTCTTTTATCTCTACTTATTTTCACATGCATCTTTTCAGAAAATGGTTCTCAGTAGAGTTTTTAAAGTTCTCATGCTTGGGCTGTTTCAGCACGAGGGAAAAGTAGGTATCTGTCTTGGAGGACCATATTTTCTCCTAGAAAAAAAGTCAAAATTGGGGTTACATTGGCGAAGACTAATACATAATAATCTAAGATCTCAAACCTCTGTAGTAATTTAAAAGTTCAGGTCCTGTCTTAGGGACATCAGGGTCATATACATGACCTGATGGAGCATCTTCGCTCTTACCATCCACCCTGAGATGGGACCATGGGGCCTCTGGCCTGGAAAGTGAAGGAGCACTTGGTATGACTTGGGGACCATCAGCGTTGCTGCCATTATTACCCTCAAGAACAAGAAGTATGGGACTGTAGTTGTGGCTCAGTGGTGGAGTGCTTGCCTTGCACACGTGAGGCACTGGTTTCGATCCTCAGCATTACATAAAATTAAATAAATAAAGTTATGTGTCCATCTACAACTAAAACAGCTTTAAAAAGAACAATAAATCTATAAATATCCCACTGCACTGAATCATGAAGTTAAATACCTGTGAAATGATGGCACTGTTATAAACAGGACTAATTTTGCTTTTTATGAAGATTCCAGAGTGATTCTTGGCGGGTATGTGAGTGGCTCAGTCCTTAAACAATGACTAGGAAATGGGAAAAATTTGTAGCTGATTCACTTAGGCTAAAGAGAGCTCTGAAACCGTTCTTGTAGCCGTAGGACTTGCTGAAAGCCATGGGGCTGGCTTCCACGAGGACTGTGGGCATCTCTGGCTCGTGGTCTTTCCTCCTTGCTCCTTCTTCCTCTTGAACATCAGTGGCAGCAACAGGGCAAGCACCGCTACACTTGCTTCAGGTGGTCCCTGTAACAGATACCATGGGCAGGCGGCCGGAACCACCTGTGGTCCCGAGTAGTATAGGTTGAAGTCTGGCGTGAGTCTCTGGTTCTGGAGTCAAGGTGCCAACAGGCCTGGTTCCTGCTGGAGGCTCCTGCCCTGTCCAGCTGCTAGAATCACCTGTATTCCTGGGCTTGGAGCCCCTTCCTCCATCCTCATAGCCAGCTGTGGTGCATCTCTGATCCTTTTGCCATTTCCTTCCTGGGCAAAGCCAGGAATGGTTCTCCAGTTCTAAGGATTCAGGTGATTCGATGCATCCACCTACATAACACAAGATACTCTCATCTCAAAACCTGATGATTAGCAGCCAGATTCCCCTTCCCCAGGTGAGATAGCATTCTCCAGGCTCCAATAATTGACATGTGCACATCTTGGAGGTCATTATTCTATTGGCCAGGCAAAGTCTAATAGGTGGGTGTGAAGAGCTGTTGGCCAGATGTGTTCTTTACCGAGATGTAGTGAAAATTTGTTATTGTTTGCCTAACATGGAGTCTAGAAATAGCTTGTGAATTCCATGTTATAGAATTGTACTAAATGGAAACATGCAGTTCTGAGGACATCTTGAATGAAAGGGGTGGGCCCAGGTTTTGTTGGCCTGGCGCCATTACTGGTTCGTGGGGCGAGGCTCTGATGGGAACAGACACCTGGCTTTACTTCTTGCTGTCCTGCTCAATGGGCAAGTTTCAACACTTTAATCCTTTGAGGGGCAAAAACACCTTTGATTTTTCAAATATGAAAAGCACAGGTGGGGCACCAGGAGAGACTAACACAGTCCTTGAGGTGTTTTCTCCCACTGTGCTCTGAGCCCCTCCCTTCTCCCTGCTCTCTGAGCCCTCCCTCCACCCCATTCTGAGCCCTTCTCCCCTGCCCTCTGAGCCTGCCCAAGGCAGGGGAGGTGGGAGGCCCAGCAAGGGCTGCACAGTGCCCAGTGTTGGGAGTTGACTTTAATGGTTTGGGCTTCTACCAGCACAGGAGGAGGCTGACACCCAGTGGTTATAGGGGGGATGCTGGCTGCCTGGGGTCTGACAGATGGGTCTAGTAGCTGGCCTTGGTCTTTTGCTGGTGGGGCCAGGCCCTGACTGTGTAGGACTGAGAGGAGCAAAATAGAGCCCACACTTCACATATTAAATATTTTAAAGCTAATAAATTATTAAGTAGTGTGTTCCATTCTCCTGCCTCATCAGATACGCCTTCATGATGACCTGGAGGCCAGGTGTGAAGAGGTCCTGCACCTGCACATGTCTGTCCCAGAGTGCTGTGGCTCTGGAGCTGGGCTCCTCAGCCCTTGTTCACCTCCTCCCTCGGGGGCTTCACACACCTGTGTGGACACCTGTTGATGGCCAACCTCTGTCCACACCCTCAACAGCTTCCTCTTCTGAATTGTGAGGTGGTGCATGCTTCCCCCAGGAAGGCAGGCCACAGAGGCCCTCAAAGTGTCTGAAAGCAGACATGGAGGCTTTGGGTGGGCACCACCCTCTGGGGAGGGTACAGGCAGAGGGGCCCATCAGACAATACTGCTCTGTCTCTAAGACATAGAATGAGGTCCCAGGAACCCCCCAGGAATGGCTGTTGTGACAGAGCAGTGTGTGGTGGGCCTGGGTGGACCTTGCTCTTGCACCTGACAGCTTCCCGTTTTTTCTTTTAGGCAGCTGATGGCACAGGAACCATTGGAAAAACTTGGATTTGGTGACTTGATAGATGGAAAATCAGAGGCAAAAAATAAATCTTAATGAGAAGATGACCAGTGGGCTGCGTCCAAGAGGCGCTCTGAGGTGAGCACAGGCCCTTCTGCTCGCGGCCCTCACCTGCCCACGTGGTCCTCAGCAGCAGGCCTTCAGGATGTAGCCAGGTGGAGGTGCCTTGCTTGTGGGGATGACTTGTGGAGGACTCACCTATCTCCTGGAGCACCCCAAATCATTTTCAAAAATTTCTGTTTCTTTTAGAGCCTCATTTACCTTTTATAAGATGCTTTTATCTTTAAATCTTGTGTATCACAGGGTCCCAGGAGGCTCCTGGTAGAGACGACCTGCGGAATGCCACCCTCACGCTGCAGTGCTCTGGGTAGCGCTCCTTACTGATGCGCCAAGTGTGCAGATTCCAGTCCCTGACACACACATTCTGTCCGGAAATGACTTCCTTGGCAAGGCATTGCCCTGTTTTGTGCTCCTGCACAGGCATGCCAGTGCATCTCCTTTTTTTCCCCCAATAAAACTAGAATATAAAATAGGAAGTGAGAAATAATTTGGCTTTTTGACATATTTGGCTTCTTGATTTTTTTGTTTATACCTTGCACCAAGTATCTTCATAACCAAAGTTTTGTTTTCTAGTTAGTATTAGGGTATATTAAAAACTAGACATTTAATTTCAGTAACTTATTGTACTGCTGAAGAATAAAATATCAATCCATTTGTAGTGAGACTATAAATAATAAAATATCTCATTTCATTTGTAGTTAGAGTGGGTTTTTTTCTATTTTTTTATCCTATTATTACACCCCACTTCTTTCACTGCCAATACTTGCTCAGAATCCCTGGGTGCATCCCAGTAGTGGTGCCCTGGTGTCAACTGAGTTCTTTAAGTAGTGCTTACAATGGTGGCTCTCGGCCCAGGTGTCTTTCTTTTTCTTTTTTTAGTACTGAGGATTGAACTTGTTGGTGCTTAACCACTGAGCCACATCCCCAGCCCTTTTTATATTTTATTTAGAGACGGGGTCTTACTGAGTTCCTTAGGGCCTTGCTGAGTTGCTGAAGCTGGCTTTGAACTCATGATTGTCCGCCTCAGCCTCCTGAGTCCTGAAATTACAGGTGTGTGCCACCACGCCCCCGCTCTTGGGTCTTTTTCAGAATTGCCTGTGGGTTGCTTAACATCACAGGTATTCTGCTGTATGCCAGAGTTCAAGGCCACCAACAAATGCTCATGTACATCTGGGCCTGTTTGCGCTCAGACCTGCCCCTCTTCGCAGTACCGTTGGGAAGGGCTGGCCCTGCAGACTACCTTCCTTGGCTCCTGGGAAGTGTGTGGAGGACAGTAAGAGGAGGTTTGGGGGGAAGAGAACCAGGGCATGACCCTCTGGTGGCAAACCTTCCCCAGGCCCGCCAGGAAGGGCAGACAAGCCTGCCAGTTGTAAGCCCTGAGAATGGGCCCCTCTGCACCGTGGGCCTGTGAGGGGTGGAGGCTTTCAGCTCATCCCCAGTTCTCTGCGTTTAAGGCCTTGAGTTTTCTGTGCCATGGTGAGCCCTTTCTCTGTTAGACATCCCAAACAACCTTGCGGGAGGGGATGTTTCTTGGGCTGGGTTCATTTCCACATGCCCACTGAGCATGGTTATCACGTGCAACTGCTCCTGTCTGCAGCCTGTTTAGCATTTGATCTCTGTCATATTCAGTGTGCTGCAGAGTTGGGGCTTATTATTTTACTTTAAAAGTCTTAAGCCAAACTGAGCCATTCTTAAGTATTTTATTTTTTTATTATTATTATTATTAATTTTTTGGGTAGTGAGGATTGAACCCAGGGGTGCTTAACCACTGAGCCACATCTCTAGCCCTTTTTATTTTTTATTCTGAGAGAGGGTCTCATTAAGTTGCTTAGGGCCTTATCAAGTACTTAAACTGGCCTCGAACTTGCAAGCCTCCTGCCTCATCCTCTGGGATTACAGGAGTGCACCATCATGCCCAGCTCTAAGTCTATGTGTACAGTGTGCACATTGCAGCACATTTTGCAATTGCAAAGCATTAAACAACCCAAACTCCCTTCTGTGCCAGATACTGTATGAACTGCGACCTCCATGCAGCAGAGCACTGCGCCAGCAATGGAGGAGGACAGGCTGAGCTGATGTGATGAGTGGTGCCACATCCTAATAAGCAGGGAAACGCAGAGCCACAAGAGCACCTGTTGAACATTACAGAGAAGGGACACGGGAAGCCATAGGATTATTCACTTATTTGTACAAAAAAAAAAAAAATCAGAAGGATAAACCAGAAACTAAATGGCACCCACTAGGCAGAGAAGCCTTGGGAATGAGGCCTCTCAGCACCTATGTTCTGCCTGAACTGTGCTCAAAACACACGAACCAGGATGTGGGGAGCCACTGATGGCAGAGATGGCTCTAGGCTGGGTTACTTTGGAAGACATTTTAACCAAAGCTAACTAACGAAAGATCTTTAGGTAGTGAGCTCATTTTCCACATGGACCATGATTCTGGCCCCATTTATTCTAAGATGGAAAATTAGAACAGCACTGTAGATGATGAGAACCCGCTCTGTTGAACTCCTAGCTTTCTAATGTAAAGACAGCTAGATGTAGAAATTGGGGGGGGGGCGGTGCACAGGCGGTGTGAGCAAGCGAGTGTCCTAGCCCTTGTATGTGGAAGGCCTAGGGCCATGACACCCAACCCCAGGTCTGGGTTCTACCATTCTCTCACAAGAGGAACCAGGATCTTCGTGGAGGCTAAGGCCAGGGCGGGGGAAGTCAAGATGAGCCCAGTATATCTGCCAGGAAGTAAGGAATTACTGAACAAGTGCCCAGCTTGCTGAAAGGAGTTAGGAGGCAGTAATGGAGCTCCCACTGGCCAAACCTGAGATGAACTGAGGAAGAAAATAAATAATGATGGTGCTGGGCTACAGCTACAACGGAGGAAATAATTGAATAAATATGTCAGTGGTAGGAGGGACAGCTCTTCCTTGTGAATTCTGACTAGTATGGAAGAATTGATGGGAACAAGGTATCATGTGTGACAAACACTACAGTGATAATGGCTGCAGACAGGAACCGTCAGTAGACAGTGAAGTTACTAGCAAAATGTGAGGCAAAACACGTCTTGAGACGCCTCCACTCCAGATGCTTAGTGATTACAAAGGGAATGACAGTGACATTACAGGGGTGATCCCCTTGGCCATGTGGTCATTGCCAGGAATGAGACTGACTTCAGCTCATGCCCCGTATCATGCACAGAGGACACAGCTTTGCTTCTGAGGCTTGCCCCCAATACACAGTCTGAACCTAATCATGAGAAACAGGCAGACCCACCCTGGGACCTTGCACCAGACAGTTGCCCATCAACATTGTCAAGGTCGTGGAACCAGGCACCGTGGCATGTGCCTGTAATCCTAGTGGCTCGGGAGGGTGTGGCAGGAAGATTGTGAGTTCTAAGCTAGCGTCAGGAATTTAGCAAAGCTGTGTCTCAAAAAGGGCTGAGGATGTAGCTCAGTTACTATCATACGCTGAGCACAGAAGAGATGTGGGGACTCAGTGCCATGTGGATCCTGGCTTCTGGGAAGGGACATTGGGACATTCTTAAGTGCTGAGAACTTGCAGGTAAGCCAGTGGAGTGGTACCAGCATGGATTTCCTGCTTTGATTCTGGACTGAGGCTGTTCAGTGTTTTGGGGGAGCTGGGTGTACGGCCTTCTTATTGGTACCACCTTAGGAAGTCTGAAATTAATTTGAAATATAAAGTTTAAATTTTTTTGTATGAAAGTCTTTGTAGTTGAGCTTTCTGTATATACGATTCAATTCTCATTTTGAAATAAATTTCAGTCACAGATAATGCAGCAACAGGGGATCATAGGAAAGAAAACAGAGCACCCTGACATAGCCACCATTGCACGGTGACTCGCATTCCTTACATAGAAGCAGGAGCTGCCTGACCCTGAATTTCTAGGTCTGGTTTGCAAACACGGGGTGCTCAGGGGGAACCCAGCCAGTCTCCCACCAAAGGTTCCCAGGAAATATTTTTGGTAGTCATATGACAAGAGTCTTTTACCATATAGAGAATGTGTTTTTTATTTATCCCGTGCACCTGTACCTTCAGCCGTTATGACATCATTAAAAGATGCCCAGATAGCCAGAGGTGCAGCTTGGTGGCATGGTACCTGACGAGCATGTGAGAAGCCCTGGGTGCCATCCCCAGCACTGCAGAACAAACAATTGCTTGGAAAATCTTTCAAGAGCTCTCCTTCTATGTGACATAATGGGTGAATTTGAGGCAGCCCTGGTCTCAGATGTGGGCCCATGATCTCCTTCTCAGAAGGATGAGGACTGACCAGAGGCCAGCAGGGCCCCTCCTTCGTCTGGCTCATGACCCCCAGGAGGGAGTGCTGCACATACCTCAGGGCTCCGCAGCCTGGGTTGTTGGCACCCCCTCTGCTGGCCCCACCCACCCTGCCTAAAGATTTTTCCTGGGGCAGTGGGGATGGGGGGTCTCCGGTGTTCATTTTTAATTGCTGCACTAATTCCTCAGACCCACTGGCTTAAAGCAAAACAAAAGTACTGCGTTGTGAAGTCAGGCTCTAAAGCAGTCTAAGGCCTGTGCTCCTGCAGGCGGCTCTGGGAAAGTCCGTTTCTCAGCCTGTGCCAGATGCTGGAGCCACACTCCCCAGTGTTGGCCCTTCCTGAATCGTCAATCTCACCCTGCCTCTGTGCTCACATTTCTAACTCTGACCCTCGTGCCTGTGTGCCCCACAGGTAGCCCCAGTAATCTCCCCGTCACAAGACCCTTAATTAAATCGCTTTGGTAAGTCCCTTGTACCATGAGAAGTACCAAGTTCACAGGTTCCAAGGATTGGAACCTTGATGTCTTGGGGACATTATTCTGCCCATCACACTTCCCCAAATGTGAAAAACATCAGCAGTGATTCTCACCTGAGTCCCAAAGGCAGCCCTGTGTAAGGGACCCTAGCCCTGTCCCATCCTGCAGTTTCTAGGAACAACCTGGATCTCTTGAGTAACTGTGACTAGTTTCTCTCTCTCTCCCTCTCTCTTTTTTAGTACCAGGAATTGAACCCAGGGATGCTTAATCACTGAGCCACATCCCAGGGTTTTTTGTTGTTGTTGTTTGTTTTTTGGTGGTGCTTGGGTTTGAACCCAGAGCCTTGTGCATTCGAGGCAAGCACTCTACCAACTGAGCTACATCCTCAGCCCCTTCCTCAGTCCTTTTTATATTTGTTTTGAGACAGGGTCTTGCCAAGTTGCTCAGGGCCTCACTAAGTTGATTAGGCTGGCCTTGAACTTGCGATCCTCCTGTTTCAGCCTCCCGAGCTGGGGTTAGAGACATGTGCATCACCGTGCCCAGCAAGCAGTTGGTTTCTCTTATTTGTTGGCAGCAGTCACATCATAATGGAGTTTTCTCAGGACTAAGTTTAAATCCTACGTTTTTCTGAGACCTTTGGCACTCCTTCCTGGCAAGTGACACAAAGATCAGTTATATACTTAACAGACAGGAATGGGAAGTGGAAGCAGCCCCCATGCGTGTGGCATGGACCCCGCTGGGGAAGCATTTGTCTGTTAGACTAGTTCTAATCTGTGCAGCAGGGAGGGGCCTGGACACCACACAGGGAACATTGGCAATATTGGGATGCAGTTGTTGGAGGACGTGTAGCATTTTCTTCCTTGTATTTTTATGACTATGTTTTATAACAAGCATGTATCATTTTTATAGAAACAATAAAATCATTAGT